TAACAATTGTAAACCGCTTTGTGACTCAGATCTGCAGTGAAAAGGCGGTATATAAATAAAAACTTACTTACTTACTTACTAAAAAAATATATACAGCTTCAGGGATGAGAGAGAGCGGGCGTCAGGGTTCACTCGATACAGAGCAAACAAGTCCTGAACTCTGGCGTTTAAAAAAAGAAAATCCTCTCAAAGCAATGAAAGCGCCGTGTCACTGAGTTCTAGACCGACTCTGGTTTTAACCCGCTGACATTATCGACCTCTAATGCGTGTGAGATACTGCCAAAAGTAGCTGTTTTTTGTTGCTCTGTCGTAAAGGTGAGTCAAAAAATGGTGTTTCTTTAATATAATCCCATTTATTTATATAGAACATTTTATAAAGTATCAAAAGTGCTGCATGGAGATTAAAGTAACACATTTCTATATTATAAAACAGGTAAAAACAGGTTTGCCAGCTTCATGTTCTTGGGTTTCATCTGACGTCAGGGCAGTGGATAACAAACGTAGGACAGGACGTGACGTGTCCTGGAGGTGCAGTCTGCCGGGTTTATACACGGAGATATAGTAGAAGAAGAAGTGGTTTATACACGGAGATATAGTAGAAGAAGAAGTGGTTTATACACGGAGATATAGTAGAAGAAGAAGTGGTTTATACACGGAGATATAGTAGAAGAAGAAGTGGTTTATACACGGAGATATAGTAGAAGAAGAAGTGGTTTATACACGGAGATATAGTAGAAGAAGAAGTGGTTTATACACAGAGATATAGTAGAAGAAGAATCATCTTTTTGTGCGGTGAACGTTTGTAGCAACCGCACAAATAGAGAAAGACCAGAGTTTGTTCATGTTCCAACTGTGGTTCCTCACTGGAATGAGGCGGAGGTGGATCAAGGCTTTCCCAGATAAGCGCCCCCTGCAGGCCACCCCAATGAAACACAGCAATTTCTTCAGTTTTTCTTTCCAAAAATGCCCAAAATCAAGACTCTTTTTGAGAAATATTTTTTACAACAACCGTACACCGCACAGGAGGAGAGCCTTTGACTCCAAAACAGACTTTACATGGTTTTCAATGGGAGCAAAACTGTCCCACCTCTGCTCATGCGCCCCCTACTGGTCATTAATAAAAACAATAAAATACCAGTTATCCAATACAAAAAACAAAAAGCAACTGTCAGTAATAATAACGGCTTATTAACCGAGCGCGAGGTCTGTATGGGGAAATATCAGACCGAGCCTTAATGCACAGACCGAGGTTAATAAATGTTTTATTATATGACTATTTTTAATTTATGCAAATATCGATCTCCGACTTGGTTTTCCTAATCGTGTTTTTAGCTTTCTGGTCTGCAACAAAGATGTCAATCTCATCTTGTCTGTTAGTTATTTTTTCTTCGTTATTTTCTGTAATTTCTTCCTCTGGCTTGTCAAACTCGTCAAACTCGTCAAACTCGTCCGATAATAGAATTCACTGAGAATGCTCCCAGTTGTCGCCCATTATTTATTTTTTACCGAGGAAACTCAGGAAAGATATCAGTTGTGAAACGCGCTGCGGACTGATTGTCATGGTAACGGTCTGAGATGGGAAAAAATCAGACCGGTAATCAGCCAATCAGAGCATGCGTACGGTCCAAGTCATATAATAAATATATTTATTGTACACTGCAAAAAGTTACTGCAAAAATAAGTCAAAAATTGCTCCAATTTGGTTAAATGTAGTTTATTGCCATTATATTTTTATTTTTTATACGCACATTTTAAATTGTATTTTAACTTGTATGTTATATGTTTTTACCTGTTTTTACTGTGAAGCACTTTTGTGGCCTTGGTCTGTGAAAGGCGCTGTATAAATAAATTACTTACTCACTACTTAGTTACTTACTTTGAGCACATTCTGACTGCCTTAAAACGATTTGCCGATGGGACAAAGCAAAATGATCTGAAATATAGCTGCAGTTCTTGAAGTAAGACTAAATGGTTTTGTCCCTTTGGCCGATCTTGTCCGAATGTGCTCAAATTAAAATAAAAACCCCTCGATTTTAAGCCATTACTAACTCATACCGTATTATTATTTGCAGTGTACAGTCTTTAACAGACGTTCACAGAAACTGAACCCCAGGAGCTGTCTCTGAAGTTTTTGGTATATATCAGTTTCTTATTCATTATGCATGGATTTTACTGAATGTTCTTCATAATAAACACAACTTCTGAAGGTTCACGTTTAAGTTTTCTTCCCATATCCTGATGGGAATAATCCTGTACGTCGGCCGCTCACACGGACGTCTACATTTACTTCAGTTTGAGGTCATCCATCAACTCTCGCTCTGGTCGTTATGAATAATGCATTTAAGGAGCTTGGGTTGGAGATGGAGAAAATGCATTTGAATGGATTCTGATTTATTTTGATATAAATATATGTATTTGTTCTCTTGGTAGAGCAGTGGCCTTTGAGCCTGGAGGTCGTGAGTTCGATTCCCACCATGGGACCTACTCCAACTGCTCCCACTGATGTCTACTGTCGTTGTGTCCTTGGGCAAGACACTTAACCCCACGTTGCCTGAAGCCCCCGCTGAAAGACCAAGGTTGTTTCACTGCTGACGGAGCAGCCATCTTCCTGTGGACTCACCCCCTGCAGAGGATCAGAGGGACTGGTGCTATGAGACTTGGGGGCAGCTCTCATTGCCCCCCCCCCTGACCCAGAAATGGACAATAAAGGGCTTGAAAATGAAAACAAAAAAATGAATGAATATTTGTTCTCTTCAGTTTGAGTTTGAGTTTGCTCTGATGTGGTCCATTGTTGTTTTTTCCCTGACTCAGGTTGCCAGATATGCAGACGAATCCAGCTGGGACCATAACAGCTGAATAGACAAGAGTTTAGTCAACAACAAATCTATAACCAACACCTTTTTCACAAAGATAGAAATCCTGGTTTTATTCCTTGTTTTGTCGTTAATGATTTGAGAATCATAACGAGAACTTTTTTAGTTCTGCGCCACATGGTACTTTACCAGTGTGATTAGCTCCACATGGTACTTTACCAGTGAGATTAGCTCCACATGGTACTTTACCAGTGAGATTAGCTCCACATGGTACTTTACCAGTGAGAGTAGCTCCACATGGTACTTTACCAGTGAGATTAGCTCCACATGGTACTTTACCAGTGAGATTAGCTCCACATGGTACTTTACCAGTGAGATTAGCTCCACATGGTACTTTACCAGTGAGATTAGCTCCACATGGTACTTTACCAGTGAGATTAGCTCCACGCGGTGAGTTCTGGCGCCCGGATCACAGACTTTCTGATTGGTGAAACGGTGGAGGGCGGGACATCAAAATGAAAACAATAACAAGATTTAGAGGCTGGAAAAGTAATTTAGAAAATCTCTGAACTACTGTTATCAGTTAAAGAAGGATTGCAAAAGACCATGTTTTATAAATGCCCTTTAACAGATTAGGGCCCTTTAAATATGACATGGAAATCTTATATATTGCTACTTTAATCATATCTGTAAGTTTTGGACGTCAATTCGAAGTTAAGTCCAGGCGGACAAAGGGACTAGTCTGCTTTTGGTCATTAGTAAGTAAGTAATGTTTATTTATATAGCACATTTTAAAGACCAAGGTAAAACAAAGCGCTTTACAATGTTCAGAATCATCACAATATTATTTTGGAGTTCTGCTTTTGCGTCCTTCCCTGTTTATCCGCGACACCTTTTCCACCGTCATCTCTGTTTACTATCGACAAAAGGGCAAATCCACTGCACATCTGAGAAACCTAAACACCCAAAACCAAGTCTATATTCTGGGCACGCTGCGTGGCATCAGGGCGGACGGTTCGTCAGAGTGCCACGGTGGTGTTCCTGCCTTCCCACCGTGTGCCGGGCTACGACTCATTTGGGTTTATTGTGCTGAGATGTCAAATGCATCTTAATTATGGTCTGGACTGACAGGAATATGAATGTTTCAGGAGCTGCGGAGATGACGGATGAACGAATCAAGTTTCCTAGTCTCTTTTTAATCCTTGTTAGTTTTTTTGTTGCAGGTAACAAGACGATCCAAATATTCTGAGATGAAGTAGATTTATCTGTAACCTTTGAGAGCGGGACTCATTTATTGTAGATTTTATAAGCATGAAGCATTCCTAGATGATTGATTTTCTTTCTGAGTTCTGACCACTGAAGGATGGGTCAGAATTTTACTTTATTTACACTTTTCTGATTCGAACTGTCACCTGCTCGTCGCAATAGAGGCGTTGTTTCATTGCAGGAATCTACCTCACCTTAGTCTATGGTAAAAATGTTTCTAGAAAAGGTGTTTTACTCCACGTCCAAAAATATTGACCATTATTCAAATAGGAAAGTCCCACTGAGAGAGAGAGTCCTGCACCCAGTTTTAATTGTTAGGGGAAACCGGAGCACCCAGAGAAAAGTCATGTCTGGAGGAGGAATTGAACCCAGAACCTTTTTGTGGTAAAGTACAAGCGCAAGTATCCACCGCGCCAAAACAATACAACACAGACTTCCATCTCTCTCCGCAGGTTTGGCGTTTTAACTTTTGCAGATAAAGGAGGAGATGATCCAAGTCACTGCCCCTTACGGACCAATGGCTCGATGTGTTTTTAATTTGATTCTCTGATCTGCGTTGGCAAATTGACAGTTTTGTAAAGACCTCTGCGATAACTACTGTTGTGATTTATGGCTATACAAATTTACATTGAACTGAATTGTCTAAACTGTAGCTGGATATGGAGCATTCAAGGCACAACATTTTCAGAGCAGACCTGACAATTTTTAACTAAACACCGGATCAATATAGATTCCCAGAGATGTTAGCGGTTTCACCTACCACTGCAGCACATGTCGTCCATCCACCTCTCCCTCATTTCTCACATATTTCCCACGTCTCTGCCCTCCCCCACCTGCCCCCCTCCTTAACCTCTCATAACTCCTCAAACTAATGGAGCACATTACGGCTTCAGGCTAAAAATAGCCTCGGTCGCAAAAAAGTCAATTCATTTCTCTCTCTTCGTTCTGTCTTTCTCCGATTGTAACGCTGCTATTTTTTCCACCTCCCGCAGGACGGGGATGAGGGGTGGTGTGAGGGCTTGTCAGCTCATTTATCAGCGGGCGGAATTCGGAGCTATCACACTGAGGCTGGGGTCTGTCTGTGGCCGCGGAGCTGAAGGGACCGGGGGATGAATGAGGGCGGACAGGCTTTACGAGGGAACAGGAAGCCCCCACGGAGAAGCTGCAGGTCTCGATGGCAGAAGGCAGACACGGTGTAACGAGGATATTACTCTGTTTGATCAGCTCTTTTGGAAAGCTGTCTGGACATGAACAGACAAAAGGGCATAATGTATACAGTTTTTAATCTATACTTGTACAGATATAAACTGGGAAGTTTATACATGTAGCCAAAGATGTCATTGTTTTGGACATATGCTGGAGATCAGAATCAGAATCAGAATCATTTTTATTGCCACGTAAGTAACAGAAGTCACAGACTAGGAAATTGCTTTGGCTCAGTGCAACAGTCAAAAAGAGATAATAAAAATAAGAATAAAAAACACTTCTAAAGAATAAATTTAAATTTAAAATAGAGTTACAGTTACTATTTACAATATACAAGTGCACATGGTGCACACAATGTAAGGTGACAGCAGTACAGTGAAGTAAAGTGACGTATGATGGGCAGTAAAGTGACTTTATAAAGGGCGGGGGGACAGGTTAAGAAGTGTTCAAGAGTCCAACAGCAGAGGGGAAGAAACTGTTCTTGTGGCGGGAGGTTCTAGTGATGGCCGTGTAGAACTGCAGCTTGGCTTTCCTGAGCTGCCGCAGGAAGTACATCCTCTGCTGGGCCTTCTTGATGAGGAGCTGATGGTCGGCTCCCACTTGAGGTCCTGGGTGATGGTGGTGCCCAGGAAACGGAAGGACTCCACAGAGGTGATGGGGGAGTCCATCACGGAGGGTGGGGGCGGGGGGACAGTGCTCTTCCTGAAGTCCACAATCATCTCCACTGTCTTCTGGGCGTTCAGCTCCAGGTTGTTACCACTGCACCAGGACACCAGCCGGTCCACCTCCTCCACCTGCTTCCTGTCCGTCAGGAAGTCAGTGATCCACCTGCAGGTGGAATCAGGCACGTTGAGCTGGGAGAGCTTGTCCTGGAGCAGGGATGGCAGGATTGTGTTGAAGGCAGAGCTGAAGTCCACGAACAGGACCCTGGCGTAGGTCCCCGGGGAGTCCAGGTGCTGTAGGATGTGGTGGAGGGCCAGGTTAATGGCGTCGTCTACAGATCTGTTGGCTCTGTAGGCGAACTGCAGGGGGTCCAGGAGGGGGGAGGTGAGGGACTTGAGATGGGAGAGAACCAGGCGTTCAAATGACTTCATGACGACAGACGTAAGTGCTACAGGTCTGTAGTCATTGAGTCCTGTGATCCTGGGCTTCTTCGGGACGGGGACAATGATGGAGGATTTGAAGCAGGCCGGGACATGGCAGGACTGCAGAGAGGTGTTGAAAATGTCCGTGAACACAGGAGTAAGCTCAGATGATAAATTATGACATGATTGTTTTTTTCTACACTCATTGTTGGAGGTTGTGTGAAGCCAAATAAACATGTTTTCTATTGAGCTGCTGTGGGATATCTCAAATGTGTAGTTCAGGAAAGGCGAGGCAGAACTTTTGCCAAGAAGAATGGACTTTACATTAGGGAGGATGTATCAACACATCCATGACTGCCACAATAGACTCCGAGCTGCCACAGATGTTAAAGGGGAAATACATGTGAATGAGAACCAGGGGATTGAGAGAAATTAGAGTAGCTTCTGTTGTAGTTATAATTTCAGAATTTATTTGAGAATAAAATGGTTGACAACTTCTGACAAATGAGTGATGAAAGTGTAAGCGAGAGTAAGCGAGCAAGAAGGGCCTGCTTTTGACTCCCGGTGTTGTAACGACTGGTGAATCAAATAAGCAGATAGAAAAATAAACTGGACAATAAACTGGACTGGGCTTGGATGGAGGCTGAGGCTGGAGGGTGGCGGCTGGATCCTGGAGGCTGGAGGCTGAGGCTGGAGGCTGGATCCTGGAGGCTGGAGGCTGGAGGCTGAGGCTGAGGCTGGATCCTGGAGGCTGAGGCTGGAGGCTGGAGGCTGGATGCAGGAGGCTGGAGGCTGGATGCAGGAGGCTGGAGGCTGGATGCAGGAGGCTGGAGGCTGGAGGCTGGAGGCTGGAGGCTGGAGGCTGGATGCAGGAGGCTGGAGGCTGGATGCAGGAGGCTGGAGGCTGGAGGCTGGAGGCTGGATGCAGGAGGCTGGAGGCTGGATGCTGAGGCTGGAGGCTGGAGGCTGAGGCTGGAGGCTGGAGGCTGGATACAGGAGGCTGGAGGCTGGATGCTGAGGCTGGATCCTGGAGGCTGAGGCTGGAGGCTGGAGGCTGGAGGCTGGATGCAGGAGGCTGGAGGCTGGATGCTGGAGGCTGGATCCTGGAGGCTGAGGCTGGAGGCTGGAGGCTGGATGCTGAGGCTGGATCCTGGAGGCTGAGGCTGGAGGCTGGAGGCTGGAGGCTGGATGCTGAGGCTGGATCCTGGAGGCTGCGGAGGCTGGAGGCTGGAGGCTGGAGGCTGGATGCTGAGGCTGGATCCTGGAGGCTGAGGCTGGAGGCTGGAGGCTGGAGGCTGGATGCTGAGGCTGGATCCTGGAGGCTGCGGAGGCTGGAGGGTGAGGCTGGAGGCTGGAGGCTGGAGGCTGAGGCTGGAGGTTGGAGGCAAAACTGGCAGTTAGCAAAGTCTGGGACAACAAAAATCAATCACCATGACATACTGAGGATCTGGCTCATGGTGAAGGGTGAATCTGGTCTTTATGCTGCAGAGGAGAAGAAGAAGAGGATGATGAACTGCAGGTGTTCGACCAGGACTCCAGACTCCCCCCAGCTCCAGGCAGACACAGAAGAGAGAGGGGGAGAACACACAGAAACTAGAACTCTGAAACCGGGTCAGAACAGGGCCTGTCCGCTTTCTCACTCTGAAACAACTCTGATATTCTTAAACAATCTCTGAGATAGATATGGAACCAAAATATGTTGCTCATTCATCCGTTGGCCTCTGTCTGTGCAGTACAACAGATAATTAGTTCTGCCTTTCGGTCAAAAATGCATAATCCATGTTTGATTCACTCTTACGTTAACACAGATTTCTAAAACAGGGTCCTCTGTTGTTGAAGTTAAAGATGGATTCTGTATTCCTTGGTAACAACAAAGTGGTTTGCTATCGCCTCAAACCAGACTGCCCATCCTCCTCTGCCCTGTCACATCCACACAGCGGCCGCTCACTGGTTATTTTCTCTTTTTCAAACCGTTCTCTGTGAACCCCAAAGGATGGTTCTGTGGAAGTCCCAGGATCAGTGGAATCTGAAATAGTCAGACCAATACTCAGCCCTATCAAACCTCCACAACATCATGTTCAAAGTCACACCTGTTGGTCCGGTTCACTTTAATTAGATAGATCAGTGGTTCCCAAAGTGGGGGTCCTGGCCCCTGGGGGATCGCGGGAACCCCTGGGGGGTTAAAAAAAAATTAAAAAATTGAACAAACATATAGCCCTTAAATATTTATTTTGCATTTGATTTGATTCAAAATTACTACTTGTTAAATTGTGTTTGGAGAAGAGTCTGAAAAATATATATATTTTACTTTGTAATTTTGTCCCAGACATTACCAGCGTCAATCAAAATCAAGGTGCGCAGCTCACATCAGGCAGCGACAAAGCGTGTCCTGCTGTTGTTTGATAAAGCTCAAAGTGTTTGGAGGCTACAGACAAATAATACCTGCTTTAAAATGAAACGTGGTTAATATCCACGACAGAAAAGGTCAGTCCGAGGTCAGGCTGATGGTGTGAAGACTGCGGAGGGAGCGAGGGCAGCGGAGAACACTGCGGTAAAGAGGCCCGGCTTTTCAGAGTCAGCGGTAAAGAGGTCCGCACATTAAAGCGGGCGGCCGCTTTAGGCTGCTACGTACAATAACGTTAAGAGAAGCCGTGAGGATGAACCGCCACAATGCACTTTTTACCATAAGTAGCAGCATAAGTTATCAGAGCACATTTTTACAATTGGGACCTGTCGAGTCCCGTGTGGGTTCCTTGAGTATCTCCTTCTCCATGTATTTATGTATATTCATAAACATAGAAACATGAGGTATATGTATTTTCTATTGTTATGTATGAAGCTAGAACATGGAACCCTCTGATTATCTATGATTCTTATGTTTCTTTTCTTGTTTTGATTATCGCTTTACCTTGTGCCTGAGCTGTGCCATACAAATAAACATGCCCTATTGGTAATGCTTTTTGTGCTATCAATGCAATTATTGTAAGTAATGGAATGTATTTACTCAATGCAAGGACATGTGTCTTTGTGTGTTCCGCTCTTGTGAATGATTGTGTGTCTCAGCACTTGGCACAGATTGTAGTGAAGTCATTTAAAGCGAAAGTTGAATTTTATGATTTATGTTATAGTTTAAAAAGGGAGAAGTTCTGTCAAAGAAAGAAGTAGGTACATCCATGAAGTCCCTCAAAAATACACCTTTTTCCAATTTCACAAAACTGTATTTACATCATCAGAAAACGATCCATAATTTGCAAACAAAGTAAAAGTCCAATGACATGGTTCCAATGTGTTTCCATCTGCTGTGTTTTCCATGTGTTTATGTTTGTGAGCGGCTTTATTTGACAGACATAATAACAATGTAAATACAGGTACCATATTGCACGATAAAACAGACAAGCATCGGACTCTCTTTGTGTAAAAACGTTTTCCCCGGAGCCGGAGCAGCTGAAAGGTTAATGCAGCTAATTGTGGAGTGATGGCTGACTCATTACAACTGTCTTCTGTGTGTAATGAAGCTGCAACAATCCGCGATCCCCAAAACGCTGCTTAGTAAACAGATCTGCACACCCTGAGTCGGAGTGTGCAAGAGGAGAAGTGTGTGAGAGAGTTTTAAAGGGTCAGCAAGTCCATTTTAAAATACTTTAAACTAGGTCGACATGGACAACTCATATTTGGCCTTAGTTTAAAGTTTAACCCTTTGGAGACTGCCGTATTATATATTTAGGGTCACTGTTCCAGCCACACGCCCTCACCGGGTCCAAATATGCGGCTTTTCTGTACAATATATAACTCAGCACTACTACATAGCTGTATATATATATTTTCGACTGGTATTGAAGAATTTACAGCATTTACAACTAGTTAAGAAACATATACTACTTATTTTGTATTTATTGTGTGCTCCCTGCGTGCTCTTACTACTGTCCTGTCTGTGCGCTGCAACATCGACATTTCCCCGCTGTGGGACGAATAAAGGAACTCTTATCTTTTTGGTAATTTTGTGTATTTCTTTTGTATACAGAGCCTCATATTCGAAAGCAGTAGAGATAGGGTGAGTAGCTCAGTCATCCAGGAGGAGCTCGGAGTAAAGCCGCTGCTCCTCCACGTGGAGAGGAACCAGTTGAGGTGGCTCAGGCATTTGTTCCATATCCCAACGAGAGGAGACCAGGGGAAGACCTAGGACACAGAGGGACTATGTCTCTCAGCTGGCCTGGGAACGCCTTGAGCCCCCCCCCAGATGAGCAGGAAGAAGAAGTAGAAAAGTCTGGGCGTCTCTGCTTCGACTGCTGCCCCCGTGACCCGGCAATGGATGAAGCGGAGGAAAATGGATGGATGCAAGTTCACAAGGCAGTCCAAGCCACAGTCATCATACGCCCTGTTTTGGTCGCTGTAGAGGAGTTGGTTGGATGATAAATCAATGATAAAAAGCCGTGATGATTTAGTGTTTTGTTTAATTAATTCAACCAGACCTGTTTTGTGACTGTCCTTCAGTGATAAGCGGTGCCCAAGAACGCAATGCTCTGGGACATTTGTTAATCTCTTTTTACCAAACACTGTTTTGTTTCTGCTATTGGCAAATCAACTATTTTGTTCGGTCCTTCAAAGGCGACTACTGTTGTGATTTTGGGCTGAGGACAAATTAATTGATTTGAATTGAAGGCTGTAGTTTCCGAGGCTTGTCTTCCATCCATACTGTGGGACTGAATATTATGTGGGAAGAATATTCTGCAAAAACACAGCATGGCAACAAATGAGCAGCTGCCGGTTCCCCCAGTGCTGTGTCTGATGGATGTGTTTGTCTCTGCACGAGTGGATAGAGGCGGGATGGAGACAGAAGCATGTATTCTCTCTGTGCTTTCATATAAAGTAAGAGCAGTACTACTACTACTACTACTACTACTACTTTTACTACTACAGTAATCTGACATGCATGAAAGTCCGAACAGGCCCCGCACCCTAATTCTGAAGCCAAGTCCTGGGTCTTCTTATTGAGAGACGACTGGTGAAACTGGTCAAATTGGATCATACTTCAAAAGTCCATTAACTTCTGTATCTAAACTTACAATGTAAAACTAACACCATGCTAGCAGGGCGGCACGGTGGCAGAGTGGTTAGCGCTTGCGTCCTTGTTCATTTCCTTTTTTACACATATTTCATATTTATACAGCTAAAATCTGCAGCAGTCTTCCTGAGAATGTGAGACAGGCTTCTTCTCTGACAATGTTCTAATCCTTTTAAGCTGTGCTACAACCGAGGGAGTTTGTCTTGACTCTTTTTAAGGTTCTGTGATTATTCATGATTTTAATGCTTTGTGTGATGGACATGGACAACATGACGGTTCTCCACTGATGAGATGGTGACGGGGAGGAGGCAGGTTGCGGCACAAGCGGCACACACAGCAGCTTGATTGGCTTTTTGTTGCATGTTATAGATCTGGAGTTATACCAACACACATACAATTAAATCTGCAGTGCCTGATTCTTAAACAGCATAACCATAGAAAATGTTTCACATCAAACTGGATCACCCTGTGTGACTCTCATGGCTCAACAAATACAGAACTAATGAACGTGTTTACTTTGTGTAATCTCAGCTAAAAGCTAAAATTTGTATTTTTAAACATATGTATAGATATAGTGAGAGTTTGAATAAATAGAGAATATTGTAAACAAACGGGGAGAAAAACCACCTTAACCCTGGCGTAAATTGAGAAACATGATTAACTATAGATCAATCTCCAATCTTTTTCAATCAGAGAGCTACTTTTACACAACAGAAGGGGCAGAGAGCTACTTCTTTTTGCAGTCATAATAAAGATTTATACGAGAAGAGAGAACACACATGGAGAAAACATGTCAAATATACTAAAGCACTGTATAATCATATATTTATACTTATAATAGTAACGACTCATTATGTATTCATTCAAGATCATGTGTTAAATTCAAAATCCTTTGGGGAGCTACCTGAAAGTGGCTTGGTCAGCTGCTGGTAGCTCCCTCTCCACAGGTTGGAGACCCCTGCTGTAGATTATCACACATTGGGGAAATAAAGCTGGGCAAATAAAACAACAACTTCGGCCTTAACGCAGCCGACTTCGGATCCTCAGCGTTTGTGGATGTGTGGTGATGTCACAGCGTTTCCAATCGCTAATGTCTCTCTGCTGCTGCTGCACCTGCGAAACATTACAAGTCTCCTCCATACGTTAAACATTCAGACTCCCCACATCCTTTAATCACGTTACAAACACAGTGCTCGGCTCTGTCCTGCAGGTACGAAGGCAGCGAAGTGGAAAAACTCTCTTTGAGCCGTTTGGAGAATAATGTGCGCTCCACTCTCCATCACAGACAAACCCAATTAGAGAAGATTGGTGGGAATGGTTCTGGATCCACTGATGGAGAAACTTCCTCTTCTACTCGTCAGCGGCACTTTCTAATGAGCTCACAGGAAGCTGGAAGGGACCGGCACGGTGGGCTCCGGGCCTGATTTGAGCCTGATTATTCCAAGGGAAAGGAAAGACGCTACGTATTATTTTCTGCTCCATTTGTTGGTTTCTATAAGAATAGTTACATATAAATTACATATTTTTATTCAATCTTATCTTAAAGCAAAACTGTTTGGAGAATTTAAATCAATTTCAACCGGTTTAATTGAGAAGAGAGAGGAGGAAAACCATTCACAAAAACCATTCACGAAAACCTTTTGGAGTCTGAATTTGACGAGTGCCAAACATGAAGAGAGTGAAGGCTACAGACTTTAAATCACTGAAGTCGGAGTTCTTAGAGACCAGTGGGGGAGGGTCCCGGCTCAAAAAGGTCCATGAGCACGTGCGCGGACATGCAATATCACTCCAGGCGGGTGGGGGTGTACCCGGAAACAGAATTACCCAATGCTTTTGAATGGCGTTTTCTTTCCTCTCTAAAACAGCTTTACAGGATGGTCCAAAAGTCGCTCTTGGCCCAACGCTACGTTTGTTTTTTTTTTTTTGTGGATCAGTCTAGTTTAGCCGCTGTAGACTTTTGAAGACACTTGTGAAATGAATGGGGCTCGTGCCGGCTGACACGTGAACATATGCATGTTTTTTTCACATTTTCCTGTCAAAAGTGATGGCAGATTAGTTTCAACGGGGGAGATCGGCGTGGCTACATCTGTTAATATTTAAAGTCTGCTTTAGAGAACCATAGTCTTTTTGTTCAGAATATTAACTAATAACATCAAGCAAAAAAATGTATTGTTTTGCACCCTAGATTTTTGGGAAACCTCAAAGTGCTACAGTTTAATGCCACAAACAAACAAAAACATCAGAAGTACATAAAATATCAACAACAAAAATCTACTTATTGGGATCCGCCCCATTTGGTCGGGACTAACTCTTGTCAATCAAGACACAACTAAGCTTGGGACTTGGTTGAATCAGACTTTTTTTGTTTTCTCCATCAGATGAAAGCATCTACTATAGCAGGGGTGTCAAACTCATTTTGGTTGAGGGCCGAAAAAAATGAAAGGGCTGATCAGGGGCCGAAAGAAGTGGGTTTCATTTATTATGCTTTTTGATAATATGAAGGTATCTAAATAAATGACTTGTTTCACATTAGTTAAATTGGAGATGCTTTTCTGATCGACTGAGTTCAGTTTCTGTGACTGAACAAAAACTGCACCAAAACTGGACCAAAACTGCACCAAAACCGGACCAAATATTGAAGGTAAATAGGAAGATTTTTGGGTGGATCATCAAGACTATTGGTCCTCCCAACTGTCAATCATTCTGGTGATTTGTGCTTGACAAATAAGCCCAGAGAGATTTGTTCAAAAAGTGGAGAGGGCGGTTCTTTCATCAGAAAATCGGGGAAATCCTCCTTTATATCTTTAAGAAATGTAATTGGAGACTTGTAAAAAAAACCATAAGATAAGAGTTCCTTATACTAACAATAATAACTTCTAATGACATGTTGAGTTAACATTTCTTAAGGAATTAAATTGTATGGTTGTTTTTGTGGGAAAATTAGTAATGGAGAACATGCAATTGTCGCTACCATCAAGGCTGCTATTTAATTTAATAATTAAAATTCATCTCAGGGGCCACTGGAAATGGTCTCGTGGACCGGATTGGCCCCCGGGCCTTGACTTTGACACCTGTGTATTATAGTATATACAAATGTTTCTTTATTAACGTTATAGTAGTCTAGTGTTTACCAGGTCAGTCTGTTAGTGCAGAAGCTTTAGTGAAACCTGAAATGAAAATATAAAGGGTATAAAAGTATAAAGGCTGATTTATCTGAACATGAAATTGCTTTAGATCCAGCCGTGTTTTCAAAAATATCCAAAGTGTAGCCACAGAACACGTGTCGACGCCTCCTGCCGACTGCTGAATAATAAAACATAGTGAGTGTGGGTGGAGAAGAGGAATGGCCTGGACTTAAAATAGACATGAGAAAAAAGTCAGGTCTAGGGAGACATTTTTGCTTTACTCACACAAGAATTTATGGAACTGTAGTCTCAAAAAGTCTACGGTGAGTGTTTCAAGAGCTCAAATCTGCAGCTGCAAGGAATAAAAGTAACTGCAGTATTTGTTGTATTTTTAGTCTGGCAGTAAACTCAAATATTGTTTTTAAATTAGTTAATGAAACTCTTTATGGTTTTAGTTCAAATTAAACAAGATATTTATTCAGAACATTGAACCTGGGGTAAGTTTGACCTGTTCCCTCCGACGGGCCCTTTGTCGCTGGTTCTGGTTCTGTTTCTTGGACAGTTACTTGGTGCCACCAGGGCCAGAGGGGGTCTGGTTTGGGGACCACAGGATCTGTTTGCAGCTGATGTTGTGCTGTTGGCTGAAGCCGCTGGGATGAAGGTCAGACCTCCAAACCCGAGGTCATGGTGCTCGGCCATAAAAAGTGCCCTCTCCAGGTGGAAAGGTGGAAAGGTCCTTCCTGGAGTGGAGGAGTTTGAGTATTTCTGGGTCTTGTTCATGACTGAGGGAAGGAGTGAGAGGGAGGTCGACAGATGGATCTGTGCAGCGCTGCAGTGATGCGGCACACGTTAAAGTGACTAAAGTCTCAGACCTGGGAATGAGCCTGATGAGCGAGAGGAGGTCTGCAGCAGAGGAGTCTGCTGCCCCTGTGCAGACTGCTGCCCTGTGACTGCAGCCTCTGTAACTGCTGCCCTGTGACTGCTTCAGCACTGGCTTCAGCACTTTGCTCAGCTGGACTATAGACTTGAGGCAGCGGTGCCATGATTCAGTGTTCATGTCTAAAGAGGAGGCTGCGGAGAGAGTCCGTGGCTCTGAGCGGCTCTGCGCGGCTCTGCGCGGCTGTGCGCGGCTCTGAGCGGCTCTGCGCGGCTGTGCGCGGCTCTGAGCGGCTCTGCGCTGTGGCGGTGGAGGGTTATTTTTAGCTGATGTTGCAGAAGAATCACAGCGGTTTGAACTAAGTACTGAGTGAATGGTGCGTTGTTCCGGAGCAGATGCCTTCGCAGCTGCAGGTGTCTGTCGGCGCCTGGACGCGCGCACGTAAGCGCGTGTTCGTGACGTGATGTCTGTCTCGCGCTCGCGGACGAAGCGCGCCGGTGGAAGAGAAACTTTTGCAGCATGGACTCCATGAGTGTTTCTGTCTCTGATCCTCGGACCGGACACTTCTGTGTTTCTCTGACGCCGCAGTTCGTCCAATGATCCGCGTCTGAACTTTGAGCACATTCTGCTCTTATGGGAATTAAGCACTCGTCCCGCTGCATGCTCCTCAGGAGGAAGATGGCGGAGTCTGAAAGCATTGAGGTGAGTGAGGCTTTGACTGTTTGACTGTTCAGTGGAATGTGTTATCGATGATGAAGTTTACTGCTGTGACTGACGCAGGCTGCAGTGTCACACTCTCCCATCATGAACATGACATGTTCTGTCTGTGGTCCACCAGAACCTTTGGCATTGATGCCAAAGAATAGTTCCTTTATGGTCTCAAAAAGACCCCATGCCCTCCTCTATATTCACATCTAGGATTTTCATGCTCACACAAAAGGCTACAAACCTCTGAAACGTTGATGAACTAACTATTAGCATCAGGCTTTGTGGCTGGTATCGATCAATGTTTTATTATCCTGCATCGTCTGTGGAACAGTTGAGAGGAGAGTCGCTGTCCAAGGTACTGCAGCTTCTTCCTGGAGGGATTAAACTAAAACTACACACACTTTTACCTCCTGCTTCTCCCTCCTCCCAGTGCTTTGACTTGTGTGAAAGTTTATCTAAAAAACATTCAAAGAACAGCGTTGGAGTCAAGCTTGTGTGCTTATTGCATTATTCATCTTAAAAACTTTCTTCACAGTGAGCTGATTCATGGAAAAGGGCTTTCTCAGCAGACTGTGTGGAAGGCATACACTACATTATGATAAGAGTATATGGATAATATAATGGATAGCTCTCTTCTGCTCCTCTGTCTGCTGCTCTTATCACTGATCCCTTGGTCTAAGTGCGCTAATGGCACCACACCAAATCAGTTCTTCTCGCCTGTCTGTGCAACAGCCCTCTCTTTTTGACCTTGTCCGGTGTGAATGTCAAGTGAAACGCACGTAACAACACCAAGTCTACCAAGTCACCCCCATGTTTCGACAAATACTGCGGAGATACTGAGACTTCTTCTCTGCACATCCAATGACTGAGCAAGCCTTTCATTCCCTTTCATTGGCTCGGTCTGCTCAGTGGCCACAGAGTTCATCGCAGGGGTGACATAAAGAGAGAAACCCTTTGCCCATTCCCCTTTTATTGTCTGCTTTTCATGGTCCAGCAGATCGTACAGTTCACGGTGGGTGGTGCATGTGCCAGTTGCATTGATAACTTGGATCTATTTATAGCCCTTGGTTAAATGTTGAAAATCTGAGCCATTTTGTACTACATTCAGTTTGACATTTGTGTTGCCGTTACACATTTAAACACATTTTCTATACCTACATTGGCATTGGCTGAAGATGATGCAATAAGAATTTCACCAAGGTGTGCTTTTGATGTTCCAACAAAACCTTTAGCGGGGTAACCTCAAGTCTAGACCTTGGAAGCACGTTCGACCTTCTGGATAAGTGAGAGTTTGGTTGTGTAGCCTACAGGTGAAGCAGTACCTGGGCAGTGCAGTGGCTCAATAGTTAGCAATACCCCTGTAGTTAGCGAGAAAGAGCAAACTGCAAAAAATGATTAAATACTGTATGAGGTAAGAATTGCTTGAATCGAGTGGTTTTGGTCTGAGTTTAAACAAGATTTGCCAATGGGTCAAAGCCATTTTGTAATTTTTAAAGAACTTGCTTTTATTTCCTCATTCTAAGGGAGACATTTCTTGTATATTTTTAAAACAACATAAAATTTGCTTTGTCTCATTGGTAAATCGTGTTTTAAGGCAGTCAGAATGGGCTGACACTAATATACATTTATCAGAATTTGAGCTATATTTGACTTTCCAGTTTTTTCAGTGCAGGGTTCCAACCACAGTCAGAACAGTCTTTCTGAGTAGAGTTTGCATGTTCTCCTCGTGTCTGCATAGCTTTCATATTCCTAAGTATTGCAGCAACAAATCATCAGTCGAGTACAGCCAACCTGTCTGTCTCACAACGATCTAACCCCAGTTCTTTATAAGTGGGAGAAATCTGCTTCACAGTGGTGCAAAGAGCATCGAAGGATCAAAAAGCTACGTCGCTATGAACGCTTGAAGCTATAGGCATCTGTAGTAAGTAAGTAATCTTTATTTATATACCGCCTGTTCACTGCAGATCTGAGTCTCAAAGCGGTTTACAATTGTTATTTTTGTGAGTGGGGGGGCCAGTACAGGAGGCACATGCCAGACCTATTGTACATATTTTTAGTGGTAGGGGAAACCGGAGTACCCGGAGGAAACCTACGCAGGCACGGGGAGAACATGCAAACTCCACTCAGAAAGGCCCTGGTCCGACCGGGATTCGAACCCAGGACCTTCTTGCTGAGAGACGAGAGTGCTATCCACTCAGCCACCGTGCCGCCCTTAAACGTTCGTACACAGAGATTCTCGGCTCAGTCCGGAAATGGATCCTTGGGCATCGCACTGACCACTGCTCCTCCTAAATGCATTGCAGGACGGGTCAAAGGCAGAGGACGAATTTCCCTATGAGGACAATGAAGTAAGACTGAGTTGTTGCATACGTAGTGTTAAGGCACATGTTCTGGATCAGAAAATATCTCCATGAGCAGAGACCAGACTTTAACACAATATAATCATAATGCATCAGTTTTAAATAGACACGCAAAAACACCCTCCCACCACCAACAACCATTCACACACACACCAGACTCATTCTAATGTAGGGGAAGTGTCTTGCCAAAGGACACAACCACATATGGAGCACTTAACAGCCGCATGTCACGTGGCAAAAGAAAACAAAAACTAAATCCAGAGTAAACACAATAAGTAACCAAACAGAGACTGACAACAGGAACTAAAGCAGACGTTTAATGAGAATGACTGAACAATACAAAGCTGAAGACAGAGGCTGAAGACAGAGGCTGAAGACAGAGGCTGAAGACAGAGGCTGAGGCTGAGGCTGAGGCTGAGACTGATGCTGTGAGGCTGAAGACAGAGGCTGAGACTGAGACTGAGACTGAGACTGAGACAGAGGCTGAGACTGAGACTGAGAGGGAGACTGAGGCAGAGACTGTAAATTAGAGCACCAGATAATCTGAGATAGTGCCTACTTCACGACTCCCACTGATGACTGCTGTCGTTGTGTCCTTGGGCAAGACACTTAACCCCACTTTGCCCAAAGCCCCAACTGAAAGATCTCAGCTCCTGTGGACTCACCACTTGCAGGAGGATCAGTGAGGGGCTGGTGCTCTGTGGACTGGGTGCAGCTCTGACTGCCGCCCCCCCGACCCAGAAATGGATTAAGGGGAAGAAAATGGATGGATGGATGGATAATCTGAGAAAGTAAAACACAAAGAAAAGATAAAGAAAATCTCCAAATTGAGCTCAGGAGACAGAGCAGGTGCTATGAGGCTGTAATTATAGACCTGGGGGTGGAGCCAGGTGCCGCCCAGAGGCGGGCCCATGTCTGCATTTAAATCAGGCACAGATATTGTAGAGTTTAGCAAGTTTTTGTCTTTTGTGGATTACTCTTCTCCCAGTTTGCCATTTCACAGCGGGTCGGCAAGGAGAGGATAATGAAATGTGATCATGAGACAAAAAGGAGATTACTATTAATGTAATGATTGCTCAAATCCTATAAACCACAGGTGTTAAATTACATAATACTAGGGCTGTCAAACAATTAAAACATTTTATTTAGTTAATTACAGCTTAAAAATTAATGATTCGCAATTAATTGCATTTCGAACTATCAGCAAAATGATGCCATATTTTTGTGTAAATGTGTATTTGAATGGAAAGATAAATGACAGTGTATGTACTGTATTTGATTATTATAACAACAATTAATCCATATAAAAGGGCATTAACATTATGAACATTCTGTGTTGCTCAGACTCAGACCAAAACTATAGTCTGTTACAGATGAGGGACATTTCAAAAAAGTCTGAAATGCAGAATGTCATTAAATCGGTTTGATTTGCTCACACCATTTTACTTTTAGGCACAACCGACATGAACTGGTAGTGCAAGGGAAATTAGGAATCCCTGCTTTTATTTAGCGATAATGCGCTTCGGGAGAAGACCAGAGGGTCCCGGCTCAAAAGTGGCCAAAATGTCGATGCCAATGGGCGTTCCAAGGGTCCCCCGGGGCCCCGGGCAACAGAGTCCTTGGGGGCCCCGATACCGACAACAAAAAAAGGCTTATATTACAGTAGGTATAAATATATCAGAATCAGTGCCACACGCTATCAGTCTGAACTGTGGCGTCACTGGTACAGTAGTCTGCTGTAATCATGTATGCTTATTTTTATGATTATTGTTTTTGTTTTTGTGTAATGTCTTTCTTATCTGGACTTCGTGTCTGTAATAAAGTTTAATAATAATATATTTATAAATAAGGTAAAATGCAATATCTCTTACTTGTTTACATTAATACAAATTAAATGTGGATAATTTCTTATTTTTAACAATAAAACGATAGGCCTGGGGCCTGCCTGGGGCCTGCCTGGCAGATTGTACAGCCTACCATAGAAAATTGTGAGTACTTCAGTCTTTAACGTGACACAAAGCAATGAGAAATAATTTATAATAAATATCAGAGCTGATCATCAGAGCAGAGTCAGAGCGGGAAGGAAAGGAGCAGAGTTTGTGGCAGTAAAGTGTGGATTTAAAGAAGGATTTAAGAAGAAAAAAAGTTCAGGACGACAAGGGACACTAATATCCGACCACACAAAATCCGATCTGTATGAAAGCTGTAGGTTCTCTGTCAGGTTCTCTGTCAGGTTCTCTGTCAGGTTCTCTGTCAGGTTCTCTGTCAGCGTCTCTGTCAGGTTCTCTGTCAGGTTCTCCGTCAGGTTCTCTGTCAGGTTCTCTGTCAGCTGAGTTCGAGCTGTTTTAGTTTACATTGAGTTCTATGGGACTTTTTTTCTGGGTAGCCCACGTGAATTTAGTCTGCAGTACCACAGCGCCCCCTGTGGTCATGGTTGGGACAGCTATAAGCCCCCCGTCGCGCTGTGGTCTCTGGAGAAGTGAGTCCCAAGTGTGAGGCAAGGTGAAGGCCCCCTCAACTCTGTTGATGGTCCGCGCACCCCACTTCAATTCAATT